CATGGCATGACACTGTATCCATACTAATACAATTTTTAAGATGAACTGGCAAACATTGAGTAGGAGGTGAACAATAATACTGTCAAAACAGTAAGTTGTTTTAGTTGTGTGTGCCTGATATGTTGCTCAAGAAACTTTGTTAACAAAAGCCAGATTCCTCCCCTGCCAAAAGTTCATTTTTCAGGCTCAACACTCTGGGTCTCAAACTTTCCATCTTCCAGGCCCATTAAGACCTTCTGAATGAAGTCAAAAGTATTGGCCAATTCTTTTAGGTAATCTAAATGTAGTGCATAAATCAGGCCAAAAAGGACAATATATCCATCAGCGAGTGTGGGCATGGTCATCACTACATTATCCTCAATGACAACTTCAACCGTATCTGGGACGAGGAATGTGGGATCAATTGAGTTGGCAGAGTTCAAAACTATGCCAACTGGTATGTCATGAAGATCTATTTCTGGAGACTCCACAGCATAGAAATTGTTTTTCAGGTTGATGTTCGTGATCCTGTGGAACTCAAACACAAAAGGACTGTTTAATGCCTAAGTATATGTGCCACATATATAATGAATACAGAACTAAACAAACAACAGAAAATCTCAAGCATCTCAAGCTAAATCCAGCTTGACTCAACTTTGTTCTATAGTTCCCCATTTTAAACTTTAAACTGTTTTTCCACCCGTACGATCCTGTCTGGCTCTTTTAGACACGGATGTTTAGTCACAAATGCTTTTGCGACCTCTGAAAATTCCCTATCAGTGGAATATGCTTTAAAAGCATGCATTTTACCTGCAAGGGTGTCAAATATGTTGTGTTTTTTGCCCTTTGCCAATTTCAGAGTTTTCCCAGTTCTCTCAAATGCAACATTTCCTTCTCCAAGTATAAGCTCCACCTCATGAAAAAGTGAGCACTGGAAAAACTGTGGGCCATCTATCAACTTTCTGTGGGGTAATTGCATGGGGAAGTATGATGGTTTCATCTGATGCTACAGAGCTGCCATCACTTTCACACAGAATCACATTTAATACAGCCTTCTGTGGAAGCTCATCAATGTCTACAAGAGAGCATAACTGCATATCAAAATCTGGGTCTTCATAAGATAAGCTAAAGTCAAACTCTATCTAGAACTTGGCTTTTATCTTGGTTTTCAGCTCATCTACACTCTCTGGACGTGAAGGCAAGGTCATCTTCCTGACAATGTCAGTAGAAATATGGACATGAAGAAGGAGATTTTGAGCTGCCATGTCCTATCATTTAATAGAAAGAAAAAAAACAGGATTAATGACTAACATTTGACATCAGGCAAATCGGGCAAATTCAAGCACATTATCAGTTATGGATGAAAATCATCATCATTAACTTCAAATGTATACCCTATGCAAA